GAAATCGTGAGATACAAAGCTCAACTGGTAGCTCAAGGTTTCTCACAGAAACCTGGTATTGATTATGAGGAAACATACTCCCCTGTGATAGATGCACCCACATTTAGATTCATAATATATTTGGCGATTACAGAAAGATTGCATATGCATCTAATGGATGTGGTTACAACATATTTATATGGATCACTAGATAGTGATATTTATATGAAAATCCCAGAAGGATTTAAAATGTCTGAAACAAAACCACGTAATATGTACTCAATAAAATTACAACAATCCTTATATGGATTGAAGCAATCTGGACGAATGTGGTACAATCGCCTTAGCGATTACTTACTCAAAGAATGGTATGTGAACAATCATATATGTCCATGCATTTTTATTAACAAATCAGAATCTGGTTTTGTTATTGTTGCAGTATATGTTGATGATCTGAATCTTGTGGGAATATTGGACGAGATCGAAAAGACGGCCACTTATTTAAAGAAAGAATTCGAAATGAAAGATCTCGGAAATACAAAATTCTGCCTTAGGCTGCAGCTTGAACATTTTTCGAATGGTATTCTCATCCATCAATCAACATTTACAGAAAAGATTTTAAGACGTTTTCATATAGATAAAACCTATCTATTGAGCTCTCCAATGATTATCCGATCACTTGACATCAAGAAAGATCATTTTCATCTTCGAGAGGATGATGAAAAACTTATTGGTCCTGAAATGCCCTATCTCAGTGCGATTGGAGCTCTTTTATATCTTGCAAATTGCACAAGACTTGATATAATTTTTCCAGTCAATTTATTAGCACGGTACAGTTCTGCACCAACTCGCAAACATTGGAATGGAATTAAACACATATTGCGATATCTTCGTGGTACAACTGATATGTAATTGTTTTATTCAAAAGCATCAAGTTCTCAATTAGTTGGATATGCAGATGCCGGCTATCTCTTTGACCCACATAAAGCCTATTCACAAATAGGATATGTGTTTACCTGTGGCGGCACTGTTATATTATGGCGATCTATGAAACATACAATGATTGCCACTTCTTCAAATCATTCTGATATACTCGCAATTCATGAGGCAAGCGGAGAATGTTTTTGGTTGAGATCAATGATCCAACATATTCGAACAACATGTGGTCTCTCATTAATAAAAGAAAGCTTAACAGTATTATATGAAGATAATGCGGCATGCATTGCACAGATAAAAGAAGGGTATATTAAAAGTGACAGGACCAAGTACATCTCACCAAAATTCTTTTATGCACATGAACTCCAGAAAAAAAGGTGATATTGATATTTAGAAGATACATTCATGTGAAAATTTAGCAGATCTATTCACTAAAACGCTTCCAACTACAACATTCAAGAAGCTGGTGCACAACATTTGAATGCGTCAACTAAATGATCTTCAGGGTTAAACTAATGAGGGGAAGCAATTGATCAAAGAGGTATTGACATGCTGTACTCTTTTTCCTTCGTCCAGGTTTTGTCCCTGGGTTTTTCTGGCAAAGTTTTAATGAGACAGTTTTAAACTATGCAATACCATTTTTAGATACACAAGGATACTGTATTCTTTTTCCTTCGCTAAGGTTTTGTCCCACTGGGTTTTCCTTAGCAAGGTTTTAACGAGGCATATTCTTAGTGTAATTCAGTGGACCCCAAGGGGGGTGTTGTATATATATTTTGGTATGAGGTCCACTTGCAATAAGTATATATGTTATCATTTTATGTGTCAATATTATCAACAATAAACATATGTGCCAGTTGTCAGAGCAAAATGAACCACACATGGCAATGCAGCTTATGCAAGAAGCTGCTTGTTGTTCACGACAGCCACGCCTATAAATAGGTTTGCAATGTATACAATTTATGGTGTAGTGAAAATTAATAAAATTATCAGCTCTCCCACTCTCTTTCTTAGCACTCTCTTTCTAATCTGTTCATTTTGTCGTAGTTGTTTGTATCAATTTCAATATCATAATTCATATCAGTTAAGAAATTCTTACAATTTTAGAATAGCATATATAGATATAGATATAGATTAATGAATTTTTATATATATATAAAAAAAATTAAAGTGTTAAAGAAATTCCTTAAACTTTTAGAATACTATGTATAGATTATATATAGATATAGATAGACATAGATAAGATACAGGACGACCATACGATCCATACCCTCCATCTATAGTTTTGGAGGTGATTCAATGTTATATTGAAGGCTAATTTTAGATTATAGGGTATGGTCGTTTACAAACTTGAACAATGAGACCCCATTCTATAAAAAAAAAGCCAAACACAGCTTTAATTGACATGAAATATCTAATATGTATATATTTTAATTCTCTCATAAATGACCAAACTACCCTCTTTTTATCTTTCTCTTTTCAATACTATTTTTGCCAAACACGAATTCTCGTCCCTCTCTTTCAACCCTTTTATCTCGCTCTAAATTTTCTTTGTGCAACTTCACATACATGTCAAGAATGGTGAGATATTCAAGGTTATTCCATATGCTCGCCATGGCTTTGTAAAGATCCAGAGGGTTCATGCCCGGTATTTGACCTAGTCTCACCACTTTAACCTCTTTTTAGTAAAGCCCTCTCTCGTTAGTCGCAATGCTTGTTCCAAATAGATTTCTTGGACATAGGGCTGCAACTCGAGCGGGCCCAACCAGGAATAACCCAAGCCCAGCCCGAAAATTTGTGGGCTTGGACAATGTTTGTCTAATTTCGGTTTGGCCCTGGGCTATATATTTTGAGCTCGAATTCAATTCGGACTGGGCTTAGGTTGATATGGAAGAAGCCTGAAGCCCAACCCGAGCCCAAAAATATTATATATATATTGATAATCATACTTAAGTCGCAAGAGTGGAGTAGTCAAGTTGGTAGTGTGGTTGAAATTTATGTTGAAAGTTTTAGGTTTAAGTCATTGGTGTAGCATTAATTGATTTTTTTTTTTACACAAATTCTTCTGAGGTGGGCTTAGTGTGGGCTCGGACTGGACAAATTATATATGGGCCGGGCTCGGGCAGCTCAGTTCGGGCTAAGCTTGGGCTGAATATTTTCTATATGGGCCTAACCTGAGATGAGTGCCAAGCCCGCTTAACCCACCCGAATTGCAGCCCTACTTGGATATGAGGTGTTTTGCTTCTCTTATTTGGTCGGGGATTGTAGATATAATTTTCTGATCTCTATCTCAAATCACTCAACATTATAAGCTAGCATTATTCCTTCTCTAAAAACAAGAGACGGATCATATTGCGTCTTACCGACCACTGTGTTTGGCTCCTTTTTTTATAGAATGAGGTGTCATTATTCAAGTTTACAAACCTGAGGGTGTCATTGTCACAAAAATGGTCCAGTTGTATTTTTTAATCAAACCTAAGGGAGTTATCACTGCAATTTAGCCTTAAAAGGATCACTAATTCAATTCCCTTTCCTTCCAAAGCTATCCCTCCAAATAGTTCGTAATCCTTTCTTTCCTCCTAAATTCCTATCATCCAAACACAACCTTCCTTTATCATTTTTTTTTGGGTAAATTACACCGACACCCCCTGAGATTGGGTCATATTTCAGCTAGATGAAGATTTTGATTTTAACTTTCACTTAGACCCCAATCATGCGAATTGACCATTTTACCCTCAAAATTTTAATACAAAATATATATAATCGTAAATGACAAAAAAACCCCTATCCCTATCCCACACCACCGCCACCAGTTCTTGATGAAATAACTGGTGCAAATGCGCCGCCGAAATAGTCGGGAAATTGCATAAATTGTATATCCTGCTGCGATTCATAAGAAGCCTACACAAACCATAACGGAATTCAAATTTTTGAACACAACAAACGCAAAATTGAATTCAAATACAATTTCAAACAACAGATCAGAGTCCACCGAATCAAATTGATACAATATAGAGAGAGAATCGTAAACTCACATATATTTCATCAAGAAAAACAGAAAGAATTAATTAAAGAAAAAAAACTTATCAAAAAAGAAAAACAGAAAGATCAGAGGCATTGATCTTCACGCTGCATCGGATACAGAAAACTTTGGTTTCTTCGGCTTCAACTTCTTCGTCATTGTACCGCCATTTTCAACGCTGTCGGAGACTTCGACATCATTGCCGTCTTCTCAGCCGTCTTCGCCGTTTGATTTGACAAATTGTCGTCATCGGTGAATCAATCCCTTCCGTCTCTCCCGCCGTCACAGCAACCACTTCTACCACCGCTGCGACTGTAGCTGCCTCTCTCCATTTTCTCAAACCCTCGACGAAGGATCTGTGTGTGAGGGTTTGTGACCTGTGAGAGTGGGGCTTCTTCGGCTTCAACTTCTTCGCCTTTGTACCACCATTTTCAACGCCGCCGGAGGCTTCGACATCATTGTCGTCTTTTTCGCTGTCGTCGCCGTTTGATTTGACAAACTGTCGTCATCGGCGAATCAATCACTTCCATCTTTCTCGCCGCCACCGCAACCACCTTCACCACGACCTCTTTCACCACCGCCGCCACTGTAGCTACCTCTCTCCATTTTCTCAAACCCTCAACAAAGGATCTGTGTGTAAGGGTTTGTGACCTGTGAAAGAAGGGGTTTTTTATATAGGGGAAAAGAGCTGTGGGGGTAAAAAATGAGGAGGAGGAGGAGGAGGAGGAGGGAGAGGGAGAAGGAGAAGGGAAATAGAGGCAAAAAAGAGAGGCAGAGAGGGAAAGAGGAAGGTTTACAGAGAGAGGGGCGGTGGTGAATGTGATGGGTAGTTTGGTCACAAAAAAATAGTCAATATGAGGTCAAAGGGTAATATAATCCTTTAACACCTTAGAGTACTCTGACCCAGTCAAAAATTGACATTTGGGGTGTGAGTAAAATGTTAAACCACTAATTTAAATATATGTGAAATCTAAAACCAAAATATTAATATAGGTATAATATGACCTAATTACGTGGGGTGTAAGTGTAATTTACTCTTTTTTTTCTTCTTTTCTTTCCGTATTCCCTGAATCCTCCCATCCAAAGGAGGCCTAAGAAAAAAGGGGGGCGCCTTCCCAATAGTCAAGACGAAATCCTAACACGATAACAAGATCGATTGTGGGTTACAAGTTACAACCGATTTATAAAAAATTGTCTCATTGTTTAGCAATCCGCGTATCCTCCACTCAAAGAGTCACTTTCTCAGCAGATTTTTTCTGCCTTTTCTTTCCTTGATCGAGCAGTTTTTCTGAGCACCGATTATAATAGGTGAATTATCTTCCTCGTTATACTCAAAATATCACTCGGTCCCTTACTTAATGACAGATTATATTTACTTTTTAATTATTATTTTTCTGTGTTTGATGTTTCTTTATTTCTCATTGTGCACGTTTCAGTCGACGATTTAGGGCTCTCTTTCTCTGGTCTGCGACTGCGATTCCAGACTTCCAGCGGCAATCCAACTTCTCTCTGGTATGTTCTCTCTCCTCTCTTCTTCTCCTACAATTTAGGGCTGTTTTTTTTCCCTCTTTTCTTCTTCACAGATTCTTTTTTTCCCAGTTTTCCTCTCTCTTTTCCCCCTTTCTTTTTCCTCTCTCATTTTCTTCCCCGTAGGCAGTTTCCTATAAACCTTTCACTTTCCGGCAACATCTCCGTCCAAATGCATCTCCTATTATGTTTGTTGTTGTTTGATGAAAATTCGTCAGGAAGAAAACAAACAGATTTTTATGTAAAGAGATGGATAGATAGATGCACATGGTTATTTGGTTAATCTGTGCTTAATTTGCTCATCAATTTTATTGGAAAATTGATCAGCCTAGATTATGTATCGACGATAGAGTTAGTTTTGTTTAATTTAGTTAAATAATTGCATTTGAAATTGGACTGGTGTTTCGTTATTGCATGTTTCATTCTCGTCTGGACAATTCTAATAGAGGGTTGTTTGGTTTTCTCTTTTACATGGTTTGTTTTGACAAATCAGTGAAAAAATGTCTACATCGGAAGAAGAGATCACGCGGCTTTATAGAATCCGGAAAACGGTAATGCAAATGCTGAGGGACCGAGGGTACTTTGTGACGGATTATGAGATAGAGATGACTAAACCACAGTTTGTTCAGAAATATGGTGAAAACATGAAAAGAGAGGACCTTGTCATCAGCAAAAACAAGCGCACCGAAAGCGGTGATCAGGTTTATTTATTTAGATATCTTTAAGTTTAAAGGAATATTATTTTCATCTCAATTGTTCCTTTTTTTTTATTTTATTTTATTTAATTTTATTTATTTTGGAAGTTGAATTAATTGTATTGATTTATAGTAAATGTACAGGGCCTATAAAAAGAGGCAAAAAAGGGGCCTGAGGACATACAAAAACAGGTCCTAGCAGTAAAAGCCAATATCTAATTCATGAAACAAATGAGGCCCAAGATCAAACCATTTTAAAATTGAAAGCCAATATCTTAGGGTGCCTTTGGTTTTGTGGAATTGGAATCAAAATGGAATTTTATTGGAATTGGAATATAACGAATTCAATTCCTAGTCTGTTGTTGGGATCAACTTTGGAAATAATTTATAATTGAATTCCAATTCAAATTCTTTTGTTTGGTTAACCCATATATTTGGGTATTGAAATTAGAAATAATTGTCATATAAATGAATATTTATATATGACTAGTAAATATTCACGTAATTAAAAAGCATAATCTTAAAACGTGATTTCTGTGAAACATAAATTTATATATATATATATATATATATATATATATTAATATCTATATGTATTAAGAGTGAAGATTCACGGATTTTACTTTTTAGTAAACGACGATGAAATTAAAGAAAGATTGAAAAGTTATTTTGAGAAGTGCTAAATGAAAACCATATAGGAAGTCTAGGTTTAGAAGAATATGTTAGAGAGAACATATTTTTACGTAGGGTCAAGGAGTGAGAGGTTAGGAATGCCTTAAGGGAGATGAAATCGTGGAGTTCTTTAGGACCCGATGGCATTGAGATGTAGAAGTGTTTAGGGGAAGTTGGCTTGCCTTGGTTAACAAAATTGTTTAATTAGATAATAACAATTAGGTGAATGTCGGATGAGTGGTGCCAAAGTATTCTAATCCCTATATATAAAAATTAAGGAGATGTACAAAGCTGTAATAATTACCGTGGTTTTAAATTAGAGATTCACGCTATGAAACTTTGGGAGAGAGTGATTGAACAACGTCTGAGATGAGAGACAAAAGTGTCGGAGAGTCAATTTGAATTCACGCTGGATAGGTCAACGATGGAGGCTTTTTACGTATTGAGGAGACTAATGGAAAAATAAAGAGAGTAGAAGATAGATCTCCATATACATTTTGTTGATTTGGAGCAAGCCTATCATAGAGTACCTAGAGACCTAATAGTGAGGGTTTTAGAAAAGAATGGAGTCACAAAGGGATGCATTGACACACTAAAAGACTTGTATGATGGTTGTGTGACTAAAGGCAGAACGCCTATAGGGGAAACAAATGAATACTCAATTACCTTGTGCTTACACCAAGGGTTAGCATTAAGTCCATACTTTCTTACCTTCGTTATGGATTGATCTAACAAGACACATCCAAGATGAGATTTCGTATTAATGATATTTTTTTAGTTGATGAGATTAGAGAAAGTGCCAAATTGGAGATTTGGGGAGAAGCTTCAGAACTAAAAGGGTTTAAGATAAATTGAAATAATGCTCTGCATATACGGATAGTAACTTTAGTAAATCTTGAAAGACAAATGAGGATCTAGTGAGGATTGAGAATCAAGAGATACAAAAAAGTGAACATATTTAGGCTCAATTATTCATAATGAGGGAGAAATTGGAGATGACGTTAATAATAGAATCAAGACAGGATGAGTTAAATGGAGAATTGCATCTGGTATATTGTTTGATAGGTAAACGGCGGTTGGAACAAAGACACATTTGAAAGGGGATCTCTATTGAACAATTATAGACCAACCATACTTCATGGTACTGAAAGTTGGGCAGCTAGGAAACAACATTTGCATACAGTGAATGTGGCGGAAATGCGAATGTTGAGATGGATGTGTTGTAAGACTTGAAAGGACACAATTATAAATTATCACAGTTATAGTAGCACCAATTGTAGATAAATTGAGAGAAAATTGGATGACAAGTGCAAAGAACTTTAAGTGCGCCGGTTATGAAAAGTGACATAGTCCACATTGAGGGTAACACTAGGGAAAGAAGATAGTTAACGTGTGTAGAGTTGTTAAAGAAAAATATGATAACATGTGGATTTATTGAGATTATGACCTCAAACAGAGCGGAATGGAAACATGTGATTCATATAGTCGACCCCAAGTAATTGGGAAAGGTAGTTGTTGTGTGTGTATATATGTATATTAACAGATGCTTTTCAACCAATAATCAATTTTAGGAGGGCTGCCTCAATATAGTTGGAGGCATAAGGCAAAAATCTCAAACTAAAGGCCTTTAATAATTACACGCAAGTCTATGATTCAAACCCCTTGTTTTCTAAACTTTCATGTATTTTATTTCCCATCTTCTCAATAATAAAAAAATCATAAAACATATACAAGAGGTTGATTATACATATCAAGCATATATCTTTTATTTCACTTGAATGGTTTTTATCAAATTATTAGATTTTAATTATTTAATAGCTTGTAAACTTATTAGATTTCATAGCAGAGAACAAAACATGAGAACTTATGGCAGATTTGGCTCCTCATATATTGAAAACATAATGCTATGATTCGTAATATTTTTATTTCAACCTTCGCACAGTTGCATTGAAAACATAGGAAATTTGCATTTGGTCTATCCTCCTGTTTAGTCTATTAAGAATTTGGATGTTACCTTAGGGCTTTAAAGTTTTTCTTGCTGGTGCAAATAAATTGTTATTTCATTGTGGAGTTGAGTTTGTGTTTTGTGGTTTACGAGAATAAGTGCAAAATAGAAAAGGGAAAAAGAGAAAAAAAAATTATTACAACTTTCTTCCCCATGGTATTGGATGCCGAGATGATGTTCTTTTGTTGGATATCTGCACTGAAACTACAATCCAATAAACAGTGAATTATTCATTCCCTGACAGAATTTTGTGGACCAGTGTATATACAGTTATCAGACGGAACAGTTTAACACACCATGTCTTCTCTTGTCATTTTAAGGAACTATATATTTTGATTATTGACTTTGACACTGAACCCTATAATCCTTAACATTAAGGTATTTATACTCTCAACTGTCAGTTCATCTTCCCATTTCAATGTTACATGGAAAATTTAGTAATTTTTCGTCTATAGAGAGAAGTCCTTAAATCTGATTTATCATGTCACAAAGGCAATTACTTGTCTTTTGAAATTGAGTTTGAACTCTATTCCGAAAGTGATAAAATTATATTTAGAAATAGAGAAGGGCAAAGGGATTGAATTCTAAATTTGAAATGGTTTCAGTTAGCGAGACCATCTTTCTTTTGTGAAGAGTCCTTTCATGGCAAATGGCAATCGGTGCCAGTGGCACGAGTTCTCCCTCCCGAGGACCATCCCATGGCAAGACCATAACAGGTTAATATTCCTTTATTTTAGGAGAAGCTAGGAGAAAAAAAATAAATAATAAAAATCCCAAACCGACATAACAAGAACCAATTAAGGGCGAATTAATCCTGTATGGCCTTCCATCAATGTTTCCAGCGAGTGAGAACCCTTCTTGGCTAAAGATTCTGTCTCTGCAATTGCAGAGCAAAGCAATGGGCTGTATGAATGAATATACCCTTGTTTCTGAACTAATCAATAACCTAATTGAGGGAGAGTATAGGGATGGCAACCATACTTCTTTCTGATAAAATATAGAGTTATTATAAAGTTGAATAAGGACATTGTGCCATTCTGGCACGAGTGTCTTGTGCTGAATATTACATGTCTTATCGCCATCCTCTTAATACTTGCCTCACATTCTCGACCAAAAGACTTGCACTATAATGATTTCGCCTTGCATTAATAATTTTCTTTGGAAATAGTTAATTCGGTTTCAAATTTTCAATATTGATTCTGGAGGATATTGATTCTGGAGGCTATCTGTATGGATATCAATCAATTTCACATACCATTTTATTTATTTATTTTATAATTAATCAATTTAACATACCTTGGGGCATATCCTGATGCCATATCCTTTGACATAATATTTTACTTCTCAATATAGTCATAGATGAGGACTATTTCATTTTATTTTTCATTTATTTTCCTTTCTGTATGGAAAGTATGCCACATGATACATGCCTATTCCACATTACGTTCTTTGGTTTGTTCACTTATTGTATTTTCTCCCCCCATCCCCCGATCAGATTTATGTTTTTTTCCCTGAGGAACCGAAGGTTGGTGTAAAGACAATGAAGACTTATACCAATCGCATGAAATCAGAGAATGTTTTTCGAGCAATCTTGGTCGTTCAACAGAATCTGACTCCTTTTGCTCGTACGTGCATAAGCGAAATATCTGCAAAATTCCACTTAGAGGTTTTCCAGGTATTTTAATGCTTGCATGATATATACTCTTCATCTTTCTTTTAGCCAATTTATAGACCAAATTAAAAGACGAAGTGAAAAGCTGTCATCATTTTACTGAATGTCTTTTTGAAGCAAGTAATATTGCACCAACTTAAAAGGAGTCTCTTGGGATGGGAAAGTTCAAATCAAATGCATGTAATTGTTTGTTAATATTGATATTAATGTTGATTAAACTGGGATGGTTTAATTTGTGGCAGCCATGGTTGAACTCTGTGTGTGAAATCGGTACTAAAACAAAATAATAATTTTCAAATATTGATATTCATTTAACTTATTCAAGATAGTTTTAGTTTAGCAAAGTCGTTTGGTGCTCTGTTGAAAGTTGGAATTAAGCATTTGGTCTGTTATGGGTTTATGAAAAGTTTTACTTTCAATAAGTTGTAATCTAAGAAGCACGGACATTGACACGGGATACGGGTACGATACGACACTGATATGGCGATACGTCAAATTTCAAAAAAATAGGACACGGATACGGCGATACATCAAATTTCAAAAAAATAGGACACAGACACGTCAAGGATACAACAATAAAATAAAATAATTAATTATTATATATATATATAAATAATACTAGTAATTGTGTTTTTTCAATTTCTCCGCTATTTTTAACCCTTTTAAATTAGGCTCACTAAATATTTCGATTCTAAAGCCCAAATTCTATTAATATATAAACAAAGAAATAAATATCTGTATATTCAAAAGGGCTAAGTTTTTTCCGTAACCAAACAAGGGATAAAAGTAGATAAGGTTTACCTTTTATTCTTATCCACTCTCTCCTTTACTCTCTTTATCTCTCTTCAGCCGTTCTTTTCCCATAACACCACTCTTCTCATCTTCTCCTTTCTTTCCGATCCTCTCACTGGTAGTCATCCTCGACTCATCCCTATGTTATAACCTTATACGTCTCTGCATCAAGTGATTTTAAAGAGTCATCTACCGAAAATTTCAGATCAGGTGTGTCCGACACTGTTACGTTGTACCTTGGTAACGTGTCGGTGCTTCCTTGGTTGTAATGCTGTACTAGATGGTGGCATTAATGGCTAACTCTTTATGGTATCCTTATTTTATTTTGGATTCATCAGTAAATGTCAGATGTCAGTGGGATGATTTCTTTTTTTTAACCCACTCCATTGATACAGGAGGCAGAGTTGTTGGTCAACATTAAAGAACATGTTCTTGTTCCCGAGCACCAGATGCTCACAGATGAAGAGAAGAAGACTCTGTTGAAGAGATATACTGTGAAAGAAACACAGGTCAAGTATCAGCAATTTTGATGTTTAGATTTGTTATATTAAAATATTTAAATTCTTGATCAACGCATCATGTTTATAATTTTAGTTGTTTATGATTATATTTAATTTTACATATTGCCACCTTACCTAGAAACAATCCAATATCCAATTATAGAAATATTTCTGTTTAATATAATTATTAAAATGCTGGAATAGAAGAAAAAGGGGGGTGGGGGGGTTCACAGCTTCATTCGAAATAAATGAAAGCCTCTGTGATTCATACTAGGGTAGGGAATGAGCATAACTGAACCTATCTCTTTGGTCCCACAAAATAAGAGCAAAAGTGTTATTCTTTATTATATAAACATATAATTGTGAAATAAACAACTTCGCTTTCCTTTGGGAGGGAAAGTCAGATTCCCTTTGTCAGGGATATTTTTTCAGTTAACTTTTTCCTTCTAGTTTGGATGTTTGAACCAGTGCTTTGTTAACTTGTGGCGACGACATTGCTTTGTGGACTCATTGTTATACTTGCTGTTAATGATTTGGTGTTATTGTAGTTTAGAATGTCAGCATTGTGCATGAATTTATCATTTTGCTTTTTTTACTGTGAATCATACATGATACTGAAGTTCTAATGTTTTTGCTATCATTCGATGGATGGAGTCCAGCTACCTCGAATACAAGTGACTGATCCAATCGCCAGGTATTATGGGATGAAGCGCGGACAAGTTGTGAAGATTATCCGGCCAAGTGAGACTGCTGGCCGTTACGTCACTTACAGATATGTTGTTTGATTTTATTTCATATCATATTTTGTTTTATGAAACTCTTAGGAAACTGGGCTTTTTGATTTTTGTTTTTGGTGTTATGTGTTTGTCAATTATCTTGAGACTCTGTAATTGAGGGGCTGATACATTTCTCAGTTACTGAAATTTTGAATTCATTTGGGTTTAAGTTAAAACTGTTGTGCCCTAATGATGCATGAGGCTAACTTCTCCGTGGACAATTTTAATACCAAAGGATGCTGAGTAATCTACATTTTCAGTAGTGTTCTAATAGTATTTCAACGAGCTTCTTGATGGGATAATATGCTGTTTGAATTCAGATGGGGCTTAGGCTTGGTCATCCAAGCTCAACACTGTTTCAAGTATTTGGGATTCAGAATCTAGGCATGCGCCGGAAAATATCTTGTTATCTGCATGCAGCGGCTCAATTGAACTCAGGTCTTTAACAACCTTTTTAGTGCAATGACGAATTTTGTAAAATTGAGACTATTGCCAGACTTTTGACTTCTTATACCAAATATAGAGTTATTAGCGTTAGTGTTTTGACAAAAAAAATACACCACAGGTTCCACAGGCCATCCCAACAATTTAGATTTCGGGCAAGCCTTCCCGAACATGGCTACAATTGTGTTGAGTTCTGTCAAGTAGAATTGATTCTTTTGTCTTTTATTTTCATCTAAAGGATAAGCAAGGATGGGTGAATGAAAATGGGGGCCAAGCTCAAGGAGACTTGAAGATGGCATATGACCATGAATTGCTTAATTCATACAACCAGTGCTGAGACTGCATCTAGGGATGTCCAAGATGCATTGGCCATTGTCTTTCATTTTTTCAAGTCAATTATGTCCAGGTCATGCAGAAGGGAGCAAAATCTGATGGAAAAGTTGCGCAGATTTAAAAGTAAAAATTGGAGACCATGACAATGATTATATAAAATAATGAATAATGATACGCGAGTCGAAAGTTGGATGTATCATGTGATTCGTGGTGTGGGTTTTCCCTTATTAACTGTTTTATGGAGACGGAGAACTTAAATTTTGCCTTCAAATGTAAGATATAATATGGAACTAAGTAGCAATGGTTCGTATACATATGAAGGAAGAACACGTCTGGTTTGATCATATTTTTTCCCAGTTCACTTCCCCACTTTCTGATTAACACAAATAAATAGAGGTGAAAGAATATGAATTAGTACCATGTAATTATTTATTCTACTATCTTTTTAACAAAATAGAATTTGTTTTTCTTTTCGTTTTTCCTCTCTTTTGTGAACTCCAGCATATTAAAAAGGGAGTTTTACATTTAAATATTAAATTATTTATTTGACCTTTCATATATGTTAAAAAATTGTCTTAATTTGTAGAGAGCTCGTGACCCAACATTACTCTTTTAAGGCTACGTGAGAAAAAAAAAAAAAAATACTAATAACATGTATTTATATCTGAATAAATTATTAAGAAAATAATAAAATTTTTATTTGGAAAAGATGAAAAAAAAAAAATTTTAACTAATTTACGATAACACTCTGAGAGCATCTCCATTCATTGTGTATATATATATTTTGTGTAAATCTGATGTGTCATAATTGATTTAGACAAAAAATTTGAATTATTTATTTTTAGCTCCAATGGTTGTTTTATATCATTTTTGTAAAACATATTCCTTAATAACAATCAACCACGTGTCATACCAGGATCCACATAATTTTTACAAACTTACTTAATATAGGGTTAATTATTTAATGAAATGAGAGAGAAGGAGAATAAAAGAAATATGCTGATGTGGCGGTGTAAAAAGGTTGTGTAACACTATAATTTTATACATTTGTGTATCTTAACAGACTGCTGAAAATAAAAAAAAATTTATACATATGTGAACTGTTTATATTTTATACAAAAGAATATTTTAACATCTCCATTGAGACTAATATTAAAAAAGAGCTTAAATGTCTTTTTAAAATTTTTTCACTAAAATATTAAAATTATTTTTAGAAAGTACCACTTATTTTTATAAAATCCTTACCACGCTGAATCACCTAATCAAATAGACCTTTTATAAAAGAATTTGAGTATTTTCTCACTTGTTTTTTTTCCTTTCAATTCCATCAACCCAAACGAACGTAACAAATTCTTTTCTACTCGGTAAGAACTAACTCTTCTCTTTCTTTTCGTGTTCTTTTTTCGCTTCCACACTTTGAATCTTTTTTTTTTATTTATACACTATAAAATTATGCAAACAAAAACAAGACGTTGACAAAATATATAAGGTTATATGGTAAATTCCAGTATATACCATTAATTATGGAATTAGGGCTTTAGAAAGAAATCCTTCCTTTTCAAACTGATTCTCTCTCGTCCGAGGATTCCCAACTGAAGATGAAGCTCAAGCAATTAGAAAGCCTCCTTGGCAGTCTTCAACAGTTCTCTAGCCCAAAGGTCTCTTTCATATATATATATGTATGTATATATAACTTATAGCGTCTATGTTAGATTCTCTAACTGAATTGGATGTTATGGTGTGCTATTACTACAGATTGAACTAGAACAATATCCAACTGGTCCCCACATCGCTTCTCGGATGTTATATACAGTATAATTCTCTTTACCCCATATTTTCCCTTTCCTTTTCCTTCTTACTAGTTGTGTTTGGTATTTGATTGTGATAGTTTGTTTATTCCATCGTCTTCTGCATTTGTGAAAACTTGGTTTTGAAATGAATAAGGCTGCGAATACGTTTGGGGATGTGAACAACAAGGTTGTGGCAGATTTTGGTTGTGGTTGTGGTACATTAGGTCTTGCAGCTACTCTATTGGATGCAGAGTGAGTTCTCCCTTTTGTTTGTTTCTACTTATTACACATTGTTTCTTCAAATCCAACTAATTCTTCTTACTTTATACATAATACATAGGTCGTCAATTCAGCATTGGATAAAAAGGGGTGAAATAACCATTTTTCCAATAAATGGTTCAAATCATTTTATCGATTTGAGTGTTCTAGACCAAAAAAATATTCATTTTGAAACCATCTCTGTATTAACATAGTGGTAGAAAGAGTACCATGCTGCGTTTAGACTTTGTTGTTAAACTTCAGCTAGAAGTTATAATAATTCAATTTCATCTCTCTACTGATGAATAATTATTGGCTTCTTAGAATATATGGATTTCCATAGATATATGTATATCTATAATATACATCCAAACACGTTTTTCTAAATTTAGTATTGTATTTCTCTTGCTTGGTTTGAACAGGCATGTAATTGGCCTTGATATTGATCCCCAATCTCTTGAAATTGCAGCAATAAACGCTGAGGATCTTGAGGTACTTCCTTATATTGATTACCACCAATTACTGTTTCTATTTTGGAAAACTATTCTCAAGCCGATTCAGCTTGAGCCGAGTGGAAACAAACTTCATGGTTTCCACTTGGCTCAGGCTGAATTTGGTCCGAAAAGCTTGGTCCTTCTATTAAAGAACTTCTTTCGTTGGCTTGGTTAATGTGTGAATCCGAGTGTTTTTTCATAAAAAAATTTCAGTTATCATATATATTGTTTTCTTTTTGGAACTATCAAATGCATGTGATTAAGGACTCGATGTGTTGATCATTCCATGTGTTAATGGTGGTTAATTGATGTATTGTTGCTTTGATTGATAATTGCACATGCAGGTTGACTTGAATCTAGTGCAGTGTGACATCAGGAACTTAGGATGGAGAGGTAATCTCTCTCTCTTTCTCAAAATGAGAAGTCACCTAATGTCCCTCTGTTTCTATTGCAATAAGCCTCCAGCTGAACTTCACAATCTCTAAGCGTATTTGCTGTGCTCGTAATACATTGGATCAACATAAGCACAAATCTCTCTCTCTGTCTCTCTCACACACACACACACACATGAACACGCGCAAACGCATGTTCAGTATGCTTCTTTTTTTTTTTTCTAGTTGGTACTCACACACGTATGCCTCCACTGAACCTGACCTCCCTTTGGGAAGTAGGGGCCTAGTACCGCTAGGCCACAGGCCTGTTGGTTGTTTAGTATGCTTGTATTATATGCAGTTCTATTATATGCAGTTAGAAGCAGGGCTCCACTCAAGAATTTGTAATTATAAACCTTATCAAAAGAAAAAAAAAAAAGAATTTGTAATTATAACGTTGAGTGATTTTCCTTCACTGAAATTCACCTCTCAAATACTGAAGAAATATGTGGGCTTCCTTATATTCTCTGTTAAATGTGATAATCAGGCATGGTAGGAACTTATACTGAGGAGAGCTTTTGAACTACTAATTGTGCTATATGAGACATCACTATGTAATGAAGGTGCCTGAGGAGAGCTGGACTAGCTTGAAAAAATGTTTTTTTTATTGAAGGAATTCCTGGGCCATTGAACTTCCATTTTATTGTTTTTCACTTTTCAGTGAGTATTGAATGGATGTATGCAAGGAATGGTTCTTCTTTCTTCGTGATGTTTGATTGAGATTCAATAATTGGCCCATCAATTTTCTTTTAAGGCATATTTCAAGTTCCTATGTTTACGTAGGTTTTGGAGGAATTCTCTTTCTAGGTGATGTATGGGTGCTAGTTTATCTGTTGGGTGCTTATACAGAGTGATAAACAGCATGGATGTAACTTTTGACGTATTTGTTTGTCTACTGAAGTAGTGATCTTGATACTTTTATAGGTCCAATCATTGATACTGTTGTCATGAATCCTCCATTTGGAACCCGGAAAAAGGGGGCTGACATGGATTTTCTTTTTGTAGCTCTGAAGGTAAGATGTTAACTATGTTTAGACATTTTGAATGTGTGTGTCCTGTCTTTTTTGTTCTAATAAATATCTATTTTCTCAGGTCGCTTCTCAAGCAGTTTATTCCTTGCACAAGACAACAACAAGAGATGTAAGTCGTTTGGCCTTGGAAGCTACAACCCTTGGGCATTTTAAAAAAAGAAAAAGAAAAAGAAAAAGGGTGATGGTAACATTAAAATGGCTTAATTAGATTTTCTTTTCAGTTTTCACTATCATCTTTCACAATGTGCCAATGTTCTTCTAAAGATGCTAAATCACAAACTACCAAGTGAATCATTATATTTCTTATACAAGAATTTTAGATCTCTTACAGAGGTTTGGGTAGTTGTGGTACTATTTTTGGCAGGTCATTCTAGGGCATGTGAAGAGCTTATTAGTGCAAACATTTCTTCAATATTTCCTCCCTCACATGCATGTTGGACAACTTGTCATCTGTAGCTAGTTTTGCAACACGAAGTACTTGAATTGACACTCAAATGCCAATAATAGATTTGTAAAATGCTCTAGTTACATTTGACATGCTTGTGAGTAGAGGAGTCAAAGCATGGCAAGCCTTATTTGTGATATTGTCATTGCTGAAACATCTTCGTCAACTAATTTTGGACCATATGATTTGCTATATTGGGTTCTCTTAGAAGTCTTTTCCTTAGTTCAGAGTTCATGTTTAATTGTCTCCGTCTCGAATTCATAATAGGTAGATATCTGTTCTGTGACATGTTTATTTCTAGCTCTAGATTTTCATTAGCAGTAGTTAATTAAATTAGAGTAGTTACGGAGCTTTAGGTCCTTGTGTATTAATTCATCTTTAGCCCGGGTTTCATCTTTTAAGATTTTGTTGCTTAATGTTCTTATTTTGTCTGATATTGCGGGCATTAATTCAGTCTTACTTCTTGTTGGATTGTATTGAGCTTGAGAAGCTCTTTCCAATTGTTCCTTTTTGGTTCCTTTTAGTGCAAAGGCATGTTGTTTGCCTCGTTTATGTTATTCACCTAGTAATTATGCTTCCAATGAATGGCTTGGAGGATGTTTATTGTGGGCTTGTGATTACAGCATGTGAAAAGGACAGCCTTGCGGGATTACAATGCTAGCAGTGCTGAGGTTATATGTGAGGTACCTGAGGTCTTTTTAGTATTATGTATGTGTACTACGTTTCTCCATGCCAAATTGCTCTCACTACTGTATTCTAAGTTTTATTGCTTCAATTTTTGTTACATTGATAGTGTATTGAGTGAGCACGATTTGGTTGCATAGATATTTTGGATTTTCTATCCACACAGATCTTCCGCAGTTTGGTTCCTTAACATATCCCCATTTTTTTTACCAGCTTCGATTTGATGTCCCACAACTGTACAAATTTCATAAGAAAAGGGAGGTGGATATTGCTGTGGACTTATGGCGTTTTGTTCCGCGGAGAAATCAAGGAAAGTGTTTATGACAGCATATCAAGACTGTGTGTATTAAAAGTGAGCGAATTCATGTGATATTTAGCGAAATGGAACTGTATCTTTTCGGCATAGTGGAGTAAATCCGTGATCGATTCCTACCTGTTCTCAGGTCTGAATAATTAATTATGGGCAAGTATAGCCATGTCATGTCCTACTTTTTCAATCACATTTACAGCGATTCCAGTGCATTGATTATTAGCGATTCTACCTACTGGTATCAGTGCGAATATATATCATTGGGTAAAAACGGTGACAGATGGTACTTGTGGAGGAAAAGGCAACTTTTTTTCAGTTTTGGCGATTTGTTGCAAAAGAACTATGCTCAACTGACTTTTACGACGAAATATGGTCGTCATAAAAATTTATATACGGAAAATAGCTGGTCGTAAAAACATTATATATATAACTGATTTTGTTACAAAAGTATTTGTGTAATTAGTTACTTGCGACAAAGCAAAAACTTTATATATATAACTGATTTTGCCACGAAACTATTTGTGTAATTAGTTACTTGCGGCAAAAATTATATATATAACAGATTTTGCCATGAAACTATTTGTGTAATTAGTTACTTGCCGCAAAAATTAATTCATCGCAAAAAAATTAACTTGCTAGTTTTTTCCCCCACAAGCCACGTGCATGGGCAGGTCAAGGGCTACACCTGACTAGAACTTAACCCTGGGTATTCTCATTGAGACACCAAGGCCTAAGTTTTCACCCGTCAAAAGCATCATTTTGCTATAACCATTTAAAATTTATCCCATAAACCTCAATTGCTAATTTATATTGATATTACCATCAAAAGAGCCCCTGCTAATCTATATTACAATAAGTTTATCATGAACTTAATGAAGGATTTGAGGCTCAGGCTCAAGCCCAGTGGGCTTTGACAAGTCAATGAATCAGACTGGCTAAGAAGATGCAAAGCCTAGGCCCGGCCCTTGTGGCGTTGTTATTCGTCTTACAGCCTAATTTGGGCTGGGCTTGGGCCAGCAATTCAGGTTTCATTCGAGTCCGTTTTAGGCTTGATTAAGATGTCTTGTACTAATAACACTATCCTTTTTATGTTTCCATTCCTTTCCCTCCAGTCTACTCAAATGCACCGTCAGTTTGACAATTTGTTTCAAAGCGACCTTATAGTGCTGAAATTTTATTTGGTTTCTAGAATTAATTGCAGATCTTGTAAAAACATTAGATATCTAACCCTTTTTTTTTTAATTAATTTTTCTTTTGATTTTTTCTTTAAATCGACCTCCCCAGTAACCACTTCATGGGCAAAAAGCAATATAATATCCACTTCTACATCAACCCCACCTGATCACCTTAAGATGACTAGCTCTGTTCTCATTCACAACGCCTATTGATGCATAATTGCATATAAGTGCCATTTATTATTCCGAACATGTCAAATATTGTTCGATACCCTGTCAATATTGGCTAAATAAAGGAAATGATTACCTGAAAATATTTCCCAAAATTGTTTTTTTTCTTCATCTTTCCATTTTACAGAATATAACATGAACAGCCAAAGGTAAATACCCTACATTTGCTATAGGAGACAATATAACACAAGTCAATCTACATAAAATAATCTAACTTGCTTTCACCACAACAAAAAGAATTAGATTATATTATAATCGAAAAATGGCTTTAGCCTCAACAGATTTGCCATTTTTTAGCAGCTTCTATTCAAAATAACGCCCTCATTTGATCCTATGCACCTCCTCAAGTCCTTGCTTTTCTTGTGACTCATGCTTCACTTTCTGTTTTTGCACTCTCAATTGTCTCCCCAAGAGTAAATCGGATGAACCTCCTAACTTTTATGTTCTCCCCTAGAGCAGCAACAGTTTGCGTTACCAGTTCCTTCACCAAAATGCTATCGTTTTTAATGAAGGGCTGCTCCAAAAGAGCAAGTTCTCCAAGCCTCTTGGAGATTCTTCCCTCGACAATTCTCTCTCTTATATTCTCAGGTTTGGACAGAAGGTCCTCCCTCTGCATCTCCAGTTCTTTTTCCTTGCTCACAATGGTCTCTGGAATATCCTCAATGGATACATACTGCACCTGTGGACTGGCCACAACTTGCATTGCAAGATCATCAACCAACTCCTTGAATTTTTCACTTCTACCAACAAAGTCAGTTTCACAGTTGACTTCAATTAGAACTCCAATGCGGGAATCATGGATGTAGGATCCAATCCTGCCTTCAGCTGCAAGCCGGCTGGACTTTTTGTCAGCAGCTGAAAGACCCTTCTTCCTGAGGTACTCTTGTGCCTTCTCAAGATCACCCCCAGTTTCAGATAAAGCTTTCTTGCAGTCCATCATGCCAGCTCCAGTTTCTTCCCGCAGTTGTTTAACCAATGCAGCTGAAACTGTTGCTTTCGGTCTGTAAATAGAGGTTGAACATATTAATCACCAGCAAGATGCCCATCCATGTATGTATGCAAGACACAATCATAAAGCTGTAATAAAAATGTGCATAAAAACAAACAAGATATTTTTGCTTCTTGAGGGGATTAAACTATTTCAGGACATGGACAAATAGTCAAAGGACATTTAAATTGTCGTGGACAGGAACTTAAATAATATTTATTTTTGAAATTTCTTTATGCTCTGCGTGTCTCTACTGCTATAATACAACAGGCGTAAAGATATCACTAATAATGGCAACGATTAACGAAATATGCAACTAATATATTCTATACATATATATATATATTTTTTCACTTACTGAAAAGTCTAAATTATCAACAGGTAAAGACATATTAGTGGCGAAGATACCCTGGAGAAGCAGACAATTTAATTATGTTAAAAGAGTATTGTTTAATATGTTAAGTACTGTTTACCCAGCTCCCACTGGTACCAAACCAACATATTGACTTTGAAACCGTGTTAATTATGCAAAAGTACTGCCCAATTTACCATCCTTCTAATTCATACGAAAGCATTTGCCACTATGATAATAATTCAACAAAGCAGTAACTTACTTTTCAACAGTTTCCTTGGCTTCAACTGCAGCGGGCTGATTCCCTGTAGCAGAGACTGCTTTTGCAGCAGTTTGGGCAGCCACCTCTGCAGCAAAATCCTGGCTTTTCTTTTCTAAGCCTTCTCCAAGGTTGTAGCGCACAAACCTTTTCACTTTTATGTTTTCTCCAATGGTTGCAATTGTCTGCTTCACCCAGTCCTTCACCACCATCTTATCATTTTTAATGTAAGGCTGCTCAAGCAATGCCACCTCCTCAAGCCTCTTCCTGATCCGTCCTTCAACAATCTTGGACCTGATCTGCTCTGGTTTTGACAAGAGATCTTCCTTCTGCATTTCAATCTCTCTTTCCTTGTCCACAATTTCGTGGGGGACATCTTCTGTAACAAGATACTGTACTTGAGGGCATGCAGCTACTTGCATGGCTAGATCATCAACCAGCTCCTTGAAAATGTCACCTCGAGATACAAAATCTGTCTCACAGTTCACCTCCAATAGGACACCAATCCTACTATCGTGAATGTATGAACCAATTCTTCCTTCAGCTGTTGCCCTACTGGCCTTCTTATCTGCACTTGCCAACCCTTTCTTCCTGAGGAACTCCTGAGCTTTAACTATGTCCCCTCCAGCTTCCGAGAGAGCTTTCTTGCAATCCATCATTCCAGCACCTGTTTCTTCACGCAGCTGCTTCACAAGAGCTGGTGATATGGCAGCTGTAGTCCACACAGAAGTAAAAATCAGTATTGAAAGAACTATATTCAGTTAAGGATCACAAATGATCACATATTTAGGGATGTCAACGGGGCGGAGTTGGGACGGATTTGGCTAAACCCTACTTCGCCCGTTAGAAAATCTATCACACCAACTCCGCCCTTACACCGAAACAAGTTTGTAATTGTTATACCATCTCCGCCCCTACTTCGATAGACAAAGTACCGACTCCGCCCCCATGTACTCCGTTTAATTGCGGGGCGCGGCGTGGGCTGGCCGGGTTATGCCACTTTATTACGTAGTAAAAAAAAAACTAGCCCAATGTGCTCAAATTGGACTGATAAATAAGTTAGCCCAACTTTTAAATTACTAAGTAGTAAATATTAATATATTAATTGATACTTCCAGCAAAGTAACAAGAGTCTTAAAAATATAAAATATATATTTTACATATATAAAAAAAAATTAAAAGGTACATATATAATCGGGGAGGGGTCATCACTAAATCCGCCCCCCCAAACCCGCTGCGGGTTTTCAATTATTTTACCATACCAGTCCCAAATCCATTTAGGGGCCACTAAATCCACCCCATTAGGGGCGGGGGTGGGGCAAAAACCCACCGGGTCGGAGGAAATTGCCATCCCTATACATATTCAGTTAAAATCACTATAAATCCATATGAAGTTATGAATCAATCTAAAACTAATATTATGACAAAATCTACACAGGGACAGTATCCAGCTTAGTTGATGAGGATGATATATGAATGGAGCTTCACCCTATTGAATGCTTATTTATGGAATCATACCTGAACCAAAGACATCAATAAAACAGAACCCTCATACAAGTCAAAGGAGAAGGGGATGAGGAAATAGATTTAATCATCTTATTGATACAATCCTTTTTTTTCATGCAGTCCACTCATTTTGGTAGACTCAAATTATAAAAATTTATTTGAGATAAAAATTTGACATTGTTGAAGAGAGGATATAAAAGAGTAGGTACCTCTGAAATGCTAAAAAGAAAAGCAAAAATGGGGAAAGAAGTCTTAGTCCACCTACCATGTGCTGCTTCTACTTACAGTACAAACCGGTCAGTGGTTCACCAATCTAATCATAAATAGGAAGAAGAGCCTAACAATCACACCTTGGTCTACATTGGTTTATTCCCAGTTGATTAATTCATTATCCACATATCTGTATATTTGGTGGTTGAGAAAGCTATGCAAACACAATCAAACATTTCATCTAATAGAGTGGATAAAGATTTGACGTGCTGGACAAAGAATTCATGATATAACATGTTACGTGTTGGCAAAGGTGCTAATACTAAGGGGGATCCCAGCATAAGAGGAGGAAACCATAGAAATGTGTGGGAAACCACGTCATTAAAATGGCAGGACACATTTATGCAGGTAAATATTTCATTTTACAGTCTTCCATTCCATTTATGAACACAGAGATGGAAACTTCACAACGTACTATTATGTTATGTTTGGGAGCACCGAATCAGTGCCTTGGATTTGTAATTGGAGGAAATTTGGTTCAAAATTTGTACTGAAATTTCTCCAATCCCAAATCCAAAGCGCCGATTCGGTGCTCCCAGTCATAGCATTAATTTAAATGGAAACTGAGATCTTATACACACACACACACATTGCACTTTTAAACACATTAAAACAACTGGATGTCAATGCGAAACCTTTTTGCATCACTTTTTAGGTTTAACCAAATACATTTTATCAAGCATTCATTTAAAAACAACCACATTACCCTTTATTATCACTGCCTTTGTGTAAACTAAGAACAAATAACCATAACCTATGTCTATATTTCACCAGGGAAACTTTGGTTTCAACATAGGCATTTCAATTCATGTATTTGTCACTTATGCATCCTGTTTTAAAAGATCATAATGTCAAAATAATTGCAGAGGTCTGTGTGTTCAGTGTTATCAAAGGCTCAAGGCCCACTAAGGCGCTAGAGGTCATTTGGAGCCTAGGCACAAGGCGAGGCGTGCACCTGAGTGAAGTGAGGCGCACAATTGAAAAATTAAATTGCTATTAAAGCATATTCATATTCCATATAAAAAGCGCAAATGTTGTCAAAGGTGCACCTGGGCACAACAGGCGCGCCTTTAACAACACTGCGTGTGTTGTAGTTTCGAGTCGCCATCTTCAATGTGATACAATGCCTCCCTAGATGCATTAAAAAAAATCATGAAGAACAGCCATATAAAGTAAGGTATCAACCTTTAGTTGTGCTTTCCTTGGGGGAAGAAGCACCAGCTTGTGCATTAGAGATGGTAACACTACCATTTTTCTCAGGGACAGGTTCCACCTTCTCATCTTCAACAGTTGTGGCACAAGGAATTTTACTTTCCACATCAGGAGCTTGTATCTGCACGTCATCCTTGACAACGCTATTGTCAACTTGGCTCTCTGCAACTTCTTCACTGAGACGACTTTCTGAAGACAAAAATTGATCATCAGCTATTCTCCAAATATGTCAGATTTTCTTGCTTGAATTTCCGAACATATATATATATATGTCAAATTTTCCATCATTTTCCACTTCATATGTGCATCCAACTCTCACTTTAGTACATAAACAAATACTATAGTTCCCTGAATTTTTAAGAGCAAGAAAACTAAAATGATAAGAAGTAGAACAATTAACCACTATACACATGATAATGTAATTCATAGTTTCAAAGATTATATTTATTAAGCTAATCACAGTGTGTAACAAGATTTGACAGAGGAGGGACAAAAGGTGAACGAGAAAGGCATTACTAGCACAATTGCTAAGTATTGGAATGGCATCAAAATGGGAGGGGTTGTTATGGTTGATTGTTGCAGTTGATATAGAAAAAGGCAACTGAATAATCCCAATAGTGACCGTGCTAGAGACATGCTCAATAGATGGAGCCTTATTCCTGTCTACAGTAACATTTATGGAAATTACACAAAATAACAACTTCCCTCATAGAGTTTAGATTGCATGAGCAACAGGATTAACCACCCTGGAGAGGTGGACTGGTAGCAGGTGCAGAACTAGGAAGTTTGATTTGGTGGTTGGGAAGAGAGAAGGGGAGGAGGGGGGGGGGGGGGGGGGGGGGGTTGCATAACCATTAAGTGCTTACGAATGACATAAAGGTGTAAAAATAATTAGAAACCAAGTTTAAAAGGATAAAATAAATATGTTTTTAAGTTATGGTATCAGGTAACGTAATGCCAATGTAATTGTATCAAAAATATTGGCCAAAGTATATTTGAAATCAGTTACCACAACCGTGATATTTTTTTTTAATACTTGGTAAATAAATCAAATTTAGTCAATGAAATATTAAATTGATTATAAATGAATTTTAATCAATTAAACATCTTAATTATGACCATATGATAACCAATTCAACAAAAAAAATAGTATAAATTTATCCACAACAAATATATTGAGTTGCCTGATCCATTAACTGGAATTTCGATTTGTCAAAAGGGAAGATAGAACTTAACTCACTTGGCCAACGAGAGTTACATTCTAACAACACGAAGAAGTCCCAATATAAGATGTCAACAAGTTCCTATTAAAATTATTTTTGGGGAGCCAAATGTCAAGTTTGTTTCATATAATTTTTAAATTAATTTTTCATATGCATGTGTATTAAGGTTTTTCAAAAAATTTGAGGGGGGCAAATGTCAAGTTTTCTTTAGATATATTTTTAAAATTAATTTTTTATATGCATTTGTATTAATGGTTTTCAAAAAATATTTGAGGGGGAAGGGGGTGGCATGGCCCCCCTTGGTCCTCACTATAGTCCGCCCTGGACTGGTAAGTTAGAACAATAGACCCATAAATAGTTCCGTCCTCTCTAAACTACAGAGTGTTGGGACAAGCACCGGGTAATGCAAATGTAAAAAGTTCTAAAAATCATCAGGTTTTATTATCTTTTCATACATTACAGTACATCTATTGTTATAGGTTCAAATTCTCATATTTTAGAAATGAATCCTAAATATTCCCAGAATGTAGTAATGGAAGCATGAGTGGCCAAACAGTAACACTACAAACCTTCCCTAGTGCTTTCAGGGGTTGGAGTATCTATCTGTCCATTTGAGCTGGTAATACTGCCATTTTTTAGGGGGTTAGCTCCTGCTTTTTCATCTTCAACTGGTGTGATCTCCTCAGTAGGTGTTTGTACCTGCACTTTATCTTCTTCTGCTACAGCATCATCAGCTAGCCTCTCTGTTACTTCTTTGCTATCCAGACTTTCTGATGACAAAAATTGATCAGTTACTTGTCTAGGTAAGCTAGATTTTTCATCATCTTCCAAGGCCTCCTCATTTATCTGATCTGCAGGAGATATGCTTCCTTCTGGAGCCAAGGATTCGGAACTCACTTCTGCCTCCTCTATGGTTTGGATGGCATCATCTTCACTTTGTGATGAATTAGAAACTATTGTTTCTGGGTCCTCATCTTGCTTAGTAGTTTCAGTCAGCGCATCATCTACTGTTCTGGCTCCCACATCCAATTCCTTTGAAGAGGTTCCATCATCTTCTACTATTTCATCCATTGCAAAAGGGGCACTGACCGACTCTCCATCACGACTTGCTGGTTGATCCTGCACCTTGAGGTTATCGAGCCCGGTATCAAACTGATCTACCTTCCCTTCCATCTTTTCAGAAGTTCTTGGTGTTAAATTAGCTGGTTCCTCCTCTTTCTCCCTCTCATCTAAAAATGCAGCAATATCCTTATTTTTACGGAAAGCCAGCAGAAAAGGGTTTGTTGCCCCATGGACAACCCCCTGAGTGACCTTCGAGTCTAACTGTCCAACATCTTCTTTTTTCATTGTCAAAGTTACCTGTCCTCTTGAGATACGCAAAACTCTGACGCTAATTTCTTGATCAACCTGCAGCGAGGTGCCCCCCATCATATTTCCATACCCGTCATCAGATTCCTCTGATTTGGGCAAGAATCCTTCCTCCCCATCAGGAAGAGATATAAAAGCACCAGCTCTGGTTAAATTCTTTACTTTGCCTTCAAGATCCTGTCCCTTCACAAACTTTGAACTTTTCTTCCCCTCATCTCTCTTCTGATTGGACTTCGGACTGCTCCTTCTGCTGGGTCTGGCTTTGTCACTACTGGCATCGTCGCTTTCACGCATAGTAAGAGATATTCGTCCTGTCTCAGTGTTTGCTTCCACCAATCTTACCTTCACCTCTTGTCCAATGGAAACAATGCTACCAACATCCTTAACAAAGCTATCGCTCAACCTGGAAACATGCACCAGGCCATCTGTAAAAGCTCCAAAATCAACAAAAGCACCAAATGGCTGGATTGATCTTACTTTCCCAGTAAAAATGGCACCAGGAACCAGATCCTCATTCTTGACTGGTGGCATCTCACTCTTCCGAGTGGTTCTTGAACGTTTAGATTGAACTGGTGGGGCACTGGCATCTGATCTGACAGATGATTCATCGCTTGTTCCCTCTGCATTCGATTGCATTCCTGAATCTTCCCCAGTATCTTTATCAGAAACCACGGAATCTGGTTCTTCTACTGCCACATCAGTCCCAGTGGCTAATACCATATGCATTCTTGATTTATGATGTAAAGCACATCCAAATCTGAATTGTGGAAATAACCTTACAGATGTTGACAGAGGCAAGATATATTTTTGTGGGGATAATGTTTGTTTTGTAGAATTTCCCAAGAGTCTGCATCCTGTTACAGAATTTTTCTTCCTTGTTATAAAAGCAGTTCCAGGGATATGTGAAATATTGCTTACAGAACTCGGAATTGTGGGGGTCATGTTGACTTAAAAAATGCAGAAGTTGTGGTGCAGTCAGCAAACTACAATTATTTTGTCATCACTTCCGCCACCTGAACAAACAAAATCGATCGTGAGATTGAAAAATAGTATAAAAATCTTGTGGGACCAATACTTTAAAATAAGGGTAAAATGGTGTGTCCAAAAGCTATACAAACAAGTTAGTAACTTGGTTCAGCAAGCTGTATCTTGCACTAACCAATTCTCTGTAACTAACATGAAAGATACTCCACAAATCGGCTTGAATTTGAGTTAAACATATCTCAAGTTAAATTGTTGCAATTGAAACATAGAAAATTTTAAAAGACGACTTATTTCAAACCAAAGGAGTAAACTAATCAATGGATATAGAAATGGGTTGTATAATCAGTTCACGTGCTGGGACCTAATTTTTCCCAACTATGATGCTTAAGCACAACATCGCTTCAACACTAAACAAACAATACTAATAGCCATGTTAAGGAAGAGACTTCCACCAACATTCTCCTGAAAATCTATAGTGATTTAAATGTCATTCATAAGAATGTAAGCTCTTCAGTCTTTATTCAGTCCCATTAAACAAGATAACTTGATGGTGTGCTCATCTATCTCAATGGTCAACCTGAAAACAGCGAGGGCCTTATGAGCATTAAAACTTCCAGGTGTGCTAAGGTACCAAGATTTCCAACAGCTTAAGCACAAGGTGGAGCATAAAGCGTGAAAATGCCCAATAAGGTGCATGTGTAATAAAAATATATACCACATAATCTTATACTTGGTATTACTGTATAAGCCGCATAATTCAAAATATGCAACACAAATTGATCAAAAGTTAAACATGAGAAATTTTGTGCAATATTAATAAATTGGGTTAGCAAAACAATGTTACACTATTATCAAAATGGGGTTTAGCCACCATTAATAAATGCATTGCACAATGATTTTTTTGGATGAACTTTTCTTATTTGTTTACTGAACTTGTTTGGGTAGTTGAATTTATGGTGAAATTCTGACAACAAAAACCCCCAAACATATTTGCCTACTCAAAACGAAATTTATCCAATATTACATCCAAAATTTCTTCTACTTCAATTTGAACACCCTGTCTGAATTCAGGTTTAGTCAAATTTTGTGCGACCAAGTCCAAGGCTCCAATCCAACCAATAAAATAATATTATAATTACTTCGTTTTTTAAATGAAAAAATTTACTTGAACAAAGAAGTGCATTGCAAAGTAGAGTACACTCAAAACAATTATCTATCCCCAGTTCGGGTCTTCAGAGTCCAGGCAACAAAGAAGCAACTCCATAACACTCGGGAAAAAAGAAATATGAGAACTTGAAACAAGTGCAAACCAAGCAACCACAGAGTTCTGAACGAATAATTAAATTAAAAAAAACACAGTAGCTCAAAGTAGCAGAAAAATATATATAAACCCTTAAAAATTGAAGGAGTCAATTAATGGGAAGCTACAATTACACATAACACCACCAAAAATCAATGACCCACAATACATGAACAGTATGTAATCACGTTGAGTGATCATACCTTTAAACTCTCTAGAGAGCCTTGAAATTTTCTGAAGAAATAAAATTAAGAAATTAGGGAAACCCTACAATTCGGTGCAGTCCTTATGAAGCTTTGTTCTCTGTTGCGAGCCCTCTGTGTTTGTGACTGATGAAAGAAGAGGGAAATGAATGGTGGGGCTTCAAATCCTTATCTCATCATCTATCTCTTTCTCTATATAAATCTCTTTTACTGTATTTATTGCACTTGAGAGAGAGAGAGAGAGAGAGAGAGGAGAACTCTTACTGGATTCGGCATAGCCAAGCCGAATTTTGATGAGAAGGTCACTTGTCGACTTGTCGCATGGCAGATATTCTTCGGCCTAGAGGCCAAAGCCTCAAACAAAGATGTTCAAATAATTTATGCAAATTGGGCTGGTCCTACTTGGACAAAAGCCCTACAGGCCTATAGAACTTGTCCAAGCCCACGCAATAGGCCTATAGAACGTTTGGGCTAATGAAAGTTACTTTCTCGTCTGTAGCTGAGTCTACATTAGAGTCCCGTGTCCCCCCATTTTCAGTGTGATGGAAACTGAGCTAAGCTCAAAGTTGCGGCCCATCAAGGACATTATTAGCCACTATCACGTGATATTATCTCAATTGCAACTAAATTAATATTATATAAATATTGAAATTAAATTAATTTGTATTAGAGAATATAATTTTCCTAATTTTTTTTTTTTTAATTTTAAGCTATTCTCCTAGTGTGGGGATGAACTTGATAGCCCAGTTGGTAGATGCACTCGCTTGAATTGTGCTTGGAGTCCAAGTTTTACCCATTCCTTTCCCTCGTTGCAAGGATAAAAAAAAATTATAAAAAGAAAAAAGAAAAAGTTCCATAGGAGTGCCACACTAGTTGGAATTTTTATTTATTTATTTTTTTTTGGGGGGGGGGGGGGGATGGAATATTGGAAACTCTATTTGATGGAATATTCTATTAAATATTGAATAATTAAATTACACTAACCTCTCTTGAAGTTTGAAAAAATTACACTCGAATATACCTTGATGCGTTTGTTTAATGACACTCCTATGGAATGCATGTGGAAATGGAATGAAATGGTCATTTTCATTCTATTGTTTGGTTGCAAATATGAAACGTGTAGGAATGAAATAATTATTTTGTTTGTTTGGATCAATTTAAAATTTAGAATGGATTGAATTTCAAATTAAATTATCCAAAATATCCCTTTTAGTGACAAATAAATTAAATTAACAAAATAACATTCTTCTATATTTTAAAAAAAAGAAATGACGGTGGTGGTAGATAGCAGTGACAATGGTGGTAGAGATAGAAAACGGTAGTGGTGTAGGCGGTGGCGTTGAAAGGCGGTGGCGGAAGGTGGCAGTAGTGTTAGTAAAAGGCGGAGATAGTGGCAGTGGTGAAAGTGTAGGTGATGACGGTGGGAAGTAATGGTGTGGTAGTGGTGGAAAGTAGTGGAGGTGACGGTGGTGATGGTGGTGGAAGGAGGTGGAGATTAGCGGTAATGGTGGAAGGTGGTGGCGATGGCGGTGGTAGAAGGTTGTGGAAGCGACGATGGTGTGGTGATAGTGGAATGCATCAACAGTTGTAGAGGTGATGATGGTGGTGGAGGTGACAGTGGTGGTGGAAGTTAGTGGCGGTGGCAGTGAAGGTGGAGGTTGCAGTGGTAGAAGATGGTAGTGGCGGTAGTGGTGGAGGTGTGTAATACCCCTAATTTCAAAAGAATAGTCCTGGTATTTAATTTATTGTTTAACTTGCATTTTTAATTGTTTAGGTGCATATGTGTTTATTTAATAGTTTAATTGACTTAATTGTAATTGTGAAGTAATTGTTTCTTTAAATAGTATTACTTGTTTCTGTAAATAAAATTAATTGTTTTGTAGAAATTATTGTTTCCTGCAATTGAATTAATTGTAATATGGTTTAGTTAGGTATTAATTAATTTATTATACTGGTTTAATTGTGAATTACGTTAGTGGGATTTCCTTAGGGTTTCTGTATTAACTTAGCCGACTTAGTCTCTGTATTACATCACACTTAGGGTTAGGTTTATGGGTGGCTTATAAATACATCTTTAGGGGTCTGCCTAGGGTTTTAGAACCATATACACGATATAGTAAAGGTAGAGAGAAGTTTGGAGAAGTCTGGGAAGAAACAGAGAGGGCAAACAGAGATTTCACCGGAGAATTGAGGAAGACGTCGGTGTAAGGCAAGTTCTAATCCTAACTCTATTCCGTTGACTCATGTTCTTTGCATGTCTAATGCAACTCCAGGAATGTACAATGATTAAAAGTAAACTGGTTTTCATGTCTCTGTTGTTTAAATTGACCGTAGCCATGAGTTGTACTGCTTGATTTATAATCTTTCGTTATGTAACTCATAAAATAATTCACGTAACTGGATGTATAATTCATGTAAATTACTATATAAAGAGTTGAGTTAGTTTGTAACACACTGGAAAGTATTAATGTTAAACTGGTTTGCATGTTTAGGTTCGTTTGCAACTGTACATGTTTGCATGTTTCGAATTGGCTTGTTTTACTTCTTTCTTGAATTTATTTATTTATTTTTATTTATTTATTTTTTTTCTATTCTAATTAGAGTGGATTTAAGATTAAAGGTTTTAAAATATCTGGGGCATTGGAAACTTAATTTTAATCAGTAGAAACCATTAAAGTTGAGGACTGATAAAACTAGACGTCACCGGAGGGGACGCAGTTGAAGAAAACAAGCAGATAGGAAGAGAGGAGGAAAGAGGTGGCTCTATGGAATCATGGAGCTGGCTCTAAAGGTCTTGGAGGCGGCTCCTTCAGGGTTTTTCAAATTTTTTTGGTTTTCTGCGAGTTCTGGACTACTGTGGTTGGGTTTTTAAAAATTCAGGTTGAATTAGGAGTTGTTCTAGGGGAGTACAGTGATGTTTAAACTCTTATTAAAGTTTCAGAAGGCATGGTAATACGTAAGATACCATAGGAAGCCAATATAGAAAACAGTAGAAAATTCTACAGAAAGTTTGAATGTTGGCTTGGATGTGGATGATTCAAGTTGCTCATGTTTAAATTAGCAACTGACTTAAGGAATTCATGGTTTAAATCATGTTACAGCGTTATAAAAATAAGCATGCCAATTATGATAATGCTCTATTATACTTAATGGGAACTTAGTTGCTAACTGTACAGTATTGTATTTTATCAACTTACTGGGTATCGTGGAATAGTTTAAAGTGAGCATGTTAATTCTGATATTGTTATTATTATGCTTACAGTGGATTACAAGATGGATTATACCTATTCTCTGTGGTTTAAACTTATTGGAGAATCATGTATTAGTAGTACAGAACAAACATGTTATATACATAATTCTTGTTATACTTGTGATGGATTCTTATTATATGGGCTATGGATTAGTTGGTATTGACTTTCGTTATTAGTATTATCAATTGTCGGATGGTATGGGATGTATGCACCGGTATGGGACGGTGGCATACTGGATTTGGGTTAGCTTGAAACGCTAAGTCCTACCTATATTGGAATAAGGGAACGGATTATTAAGATAAAATCCTACTTATATCTAAGTCAAAGAAGCTGCACAAGCTGAATGACTAATTAGACTACTTGTCAATTATGTTAAGTCAAAGAAACTGCACAAGCTGAATGACTAACTGGACTTACTATGGACAGGACGGATTTTAAATATATGTTATGGTACTGCGATCTGAGCTTGAGTCTTAGAGTCGTTGGTTAGGGAGCGTATATGCAATAGGATGCGTAGCTGGATATGAGAGGTTGAGGTATACCCTGTTAGGTCTAGGTATTCATGCCCACCTTTGGGGGCGTTTTCGCATGTTGCCTTCTTTACAGGTTAAGACCCTCTCCATAGTCCAGTGAGAGTCCTGTAGTGTGGATATACTTACGTACGGACTATTAGCTATTGTTGAGTTGCTTAGGATGTATATGTGTATCGAGTCTCTGCTTGGATTGTAGTAGGTTAGAACTTGTTCGTGGGCCTGACCCACTTTTATTTTTTAGGTACTCGTCAGTTTCAGACTTAGACCTGATCGTGCTGAGCAGAGATTACTACTCACTCTTCCGACGACGTAGGACTTCTCTCTATGGTTTAACTTTGGATGTCTTTTGGCTATTTATTCTTCAGTTTGGATTTTCGTATTAGGGGTCCAATGGATGGATTCCCAAGTTGTTAAACTGTTGGAGGTTTCAGATTTTAAGTATTTAATGATTAAAGGATTTTATTTGTTTAGAACTCGTTCACCTTTTATTTATTTCTTATTTCATTTTGTATTCCTTGTTCGTTTTAAATATTAATTGTTAGATATTCCCTCGGGTTCGGGCTTGGGCTTGATCAACCTGTGCCTCAGATCCGAGGGGTATCACAAGGTAGCTGCGGGTGTGGAAGGCAATGGTAAAGGTGTGATATGGTGGTGGTGGAAAGTGGTAGTGGAAGACAGTTGAGGTGACGGTGACTGTGATACCCCTAATTTCAAAAGCATAGTCCTGGTATTTTATAAATTGTTTAAATTGCATTTATATTTGTTTAATTGTTTATTTGTTAATTTAATGGAGTTATATGATTTATTTGTTTGTTTTTATTTGTTTTTTTTTTTTTAATTTTATTTAACTGACATTTGTTTAGTTAGTACTGATTGAATTATGTGCTTATGTGGCTATTTAAATATATAGTTTTTTTAATTTAACTGTGGTCCGTGTTTTGGTTTCCATGTATATTAGTATTAGGGTTTTAGTTTTCTTTTAGGATTCACGTTGAGCCGACTTGTAGTTGGTTTATGTGATACCCCTCGATTCTAGAGTCACGGGTGATCAAGTCCGAGTACAGATCCGAGGGATATCAAACAATTAATATGTAACCAAGCAAGAATAAAACTGAATTAAGAATAAAATAATAATGCGCTGAAAGAAATTAAAATGAAAATCCTCGAACCTTAAATAATAAATTAATATAATTTAAATCCGTACAACTCGGGAATCCACCTAGTGGACCCCTAATTCCAAAACTTTAAATAAATTTACAGAATTAAAATCCAAAACCAAAATAGAAAGGAAATCCTATGTAACCGGAAGAGTGAGTGTCTGTATCTGCATCAACACGATCAAACTCTAAGTCTGGTACTGGCGAATACCTGAAAAATAGAAGTGGGTCAGGTCCACATGCAAGTTCCAA